CTAACATTGTCACTGTAAACAGGCATCTGAGTCTAGCCCTTCTAAGAGCCCGAGCTGGGCAGCATCTGTATCTAACAACTTTGGGCAAGCTCATTGTTGGCTGGAGCAGCAGATTTGAGGTCGTGAGTCAGCCAGGTGGAACACCCTGGGGCGGGCTTCCCCATGGGAGCCCAGCATTCCTTGCTCCCTCCCAGATACTGGCAGCCAGACACTCTGGAAGCCAAGGACAACACGTAGTGAGGAACAAGTTACAGAGGGAAGGTGTTGGCCAGCTACGCTACTTCCCTGGTGTCAGGGGCACCCTCATTTTCTTGCTTAATTTTAAGTAAGGCAGGGTTAAGTAAATTTTCTGCTGGCGATTTCATTTCTTTGCTTTTTCTTTTTCGCTTTTATCTTTTCCTTTACCCCTTCTTTTTCTTTCATTTCCTCTTTTTCCTTCTTCCTCTGTTCTGCTGCTATTGAAATTCCTTCCTTGCCAGAGGGCCCATAGAGTGTGTTGAATATTGCTGAGAACCAGCAGATTAATGAAAAAGTGACTTAGGAGCTTTGTAAGGGTGCAATGCTTTCCTCAGGAAAGGGCCTGCCTCATGGTCATTTCCCTTTTCTTCCATGCAGTTTTCCATGCTTGATCTAACAATTTCCCAACCCCTGCAAGTGAGACATGGAAGCATGGGGGAGTTCTTGAGAGCAAGAAGTGGTGACTTTTAATAGGAACACAGATGAAGAGAAAACCTGTTTGAAATGAGGGGAGGGGAAAATAAGAACACAGAAACTCCTGTGTCCGGTCAGCTACAGGGAGTAGCATCATGCATGCTCAGTAGGCTCTTAGGGTCACAGCTCTGGACACGAATAGCCCCAAGGGTAGAGTCATCAATGTGTTTTGTTTTAAAAAGCTCGTATCATATACTTGTAAAGATTTTCTCTTGATGAGATTTTACTCTCTGAAATAGCCCTCTTATGTGGAAAACCATTTTCCCAGAAGTGGCTTCTGGATGAGTCACTGTTTAGCTTTTATCTTCCCTTTTTCTCTCATTCATCCCCCATTCCAATTACGTTCAGCATTTCTTTCTTCACCCAATATTATTACTGAGCTGAAAAGCATACTTTTTCAGATACCCTTCTGTCTCTTTCCTTTTCCTTTACTATGCTTGGAAGGAAATAACGTTTTTAGACTTGAGGGAAAACTGTTTTGAGCTCTGGGAGGTCTTACCTCCTATGATGCTTTTTGATGTAAAAACCAGTAGGTACAAGTTAGGAAAAGACCCGTTGTAGCCCACCAGTTATGATTCCGTTTTAACTCTTGAGGGAGACTGCCAGGGGCCTGAGCTACCTCGAGCTCCCATGCCAGGGATGGCGTCACCTGCAGGATGGCCTTGAGCAGGTTTTCATGCCAGGTAGGGGCTAGTTGGCCTCCTTTCCTGCTCCAGACTCTGAGAGTATGTGAGGTGCAGACTCCCATTCCACTGATGGCCAGGATACTTGTAACCACCTGAAAAGGCAGGCAGGATGGGTACCAGCACCTGTTTTACCCAGGCTTTGTTTTCTGACTCCTACTTCACTTTTTTAAAACCAGACCATGTTGCCATGGAGGCCAAGCCTGGACACCGAAGCCATGTGTGCTCCAGCATGCTGCCTCAGCAGGGTTCTGGAGCCCGAGAAAGTTCTACCTGAGTCCCTTACCTCACTCACCCCCTTCACCAGGGATGACTGACTGGGACTCACTTTCCAGTCAGATGCTAAATTACACCTTCTTTTGCCTGACTGCCACTGGGCTCTAGGATCTGCCCCCAGAGTTTACCAAAAGGGACTCTGGCCCTCCCCCTCAAGTCACCGTCTGTTTTCCTGTTTTGTAACTAATACAGAACCAAACCTTTTTCTGTGGCAGGTGAGGTGATAAAGCACGGGGACCTGAAATGTGTGCGCAATGAAGGGATGCCCATCTACAAAGCTCCCCTTGAGAAAGGGACTCTGATCATACAGTTTTTAGTAAGTCCACTGCGTTTTCTTCTCACTGGACATGCTGTTAAATGCCTTAATTGGAAGAACAAACAACTACTGCTCTTTCCCACCCTTTGCAGGTCCTCTTTCCTGAAAAACAGTGGCTTTCTCAAGAAAAGCTTCCTCAGCTGGAGGCTTTGCTCCCTCCTCGACAGAAAGTGAGGATTACAGACGACATGGATCAGGTGGAACTAAAGGAGTTCAATCCCAATGAGCAGAACTGGCGCCAACACAGGGAGGCCTATGAGGAGGACGAGGATGGGCCCCGGGGCGGAGTGCAGTGCCAGACAGCATGATGTACATGGTGCAGGTGGCCCGGCCGGACTAGCAGTGATGAATGTAAAGTTGGCACAATGAAAATGGCATCGTTTTAATGGCCTCATGTTTGGGGTGTCCTGTGTATGTGTTCAGCATTCTCCATTGCTGAGTGTCTTTTTGGTTTTTCTTTTGGTTGTAACTTAAGTTATAGTTTAATTTATATTTAAATGTTTTAAGTGTAAATCATCTCTAGTCTGCATATGGAATCTGTTCATTTACGTTTTCAGGATATACTTTGGAGATGCCAGTGACTTCGCGGATACTTTGTGCTTCTAGTGGCTTTGCCGTAATTCAGTTTCACCAGTAAAGCACAGCCTGAGAGCAGCACTAGCCTCCCTAGAAAGCCCTAAGGCACAAAGTGAGCATCCCCTCCCCCTCCTCCCATGGCAGGGTTACAGAGGGCACAATCTCAGGGCTGCTAACATATTTCTGAATCTAGATTATAGATGATCCTCCTGAAGAATAAAAGCACATCTGTGGATCAGACTTGGCTCCCCATGTCTCTTTAGTTTCCTGATTCACGCTGAGGGGGCTGTGGTCCTGGAGTTGCAGAGCCACCTTAGTTCCTACTGTTCTATTCCCTAAATGGCTGGAATAGGGTGTGTGTCTGATCGTTTCTTTTAGAAGGTTCCTGAACCTTCCAAGCATTGTGGTGAGGACCAGTGTTTTAAATGACATGCCCATGTAACTGCTTGCCTGTGGCCCTCTCCCCAAATACCTTGTTCTTTGTAGTTTTAATGATTTTCTGTTGACCACCTTTGCAATGCCCTTCCACCAAAGTGCTACTTGTAAAGAAAATCTAAACTCTCCATGTCCTAGCAGCCTGAGTGTAACAGAAGCCATGGGGAATACTGGTGGCTTGGCCACAGGCATAGCCAGCCCCCACCTGGCCAATGCACCCACATGACTTGAGGGTCAGAAAGGCATAGAACTTCTCAGTGTTTTCCACCTCTCCTATTCCATTCCCTTCCAAAGTATTGTTCCTCTCCTTGTTGCAGAGCCATACTTAAAAAGGGCTTCCTGCTCATGTGTTCATGTTTAGATAACGCAGGTAATATGACTGGACTCTACTAGGGACTATAGTTTATCAAATTCACTGTAAATTATAGGTTGTTTGGAGGGATATTTGTTCTGCCAGGTGGGCTACAGCTTTAATATAGGGTTACCTCAACCTTTAGCCATTATTGTTCATTTCTTTCCCACAACAGTCATGAAGATAAACTGCTCCCTTTTGAGCTGCTGAGTTAAAAGCAGAGGCCACCTGACAGGTTCACCCCTACTTGGTTATAGTTACCTGAGAGTTTTGACTCAGACTAGGGACCTTCCCTAGGTGGCTATAAGGGCAGATTAGACCATGGCAGGTAGGGTGAGCCAGCTGATGAATGGACCAGGCTCCAGCAGAACATTGCCAGCTAGTGGGCCCAGCTTCTGAGGGGCATAATTTGCTCAAAGGAAATATAGAAGAGACTACTTCCTGCTTTGGCCACTGGTCAGGATGAACATAAAACTGATTCTTCCAGCTAACCCTGTATGAAAATCAGTTAACAAATGGACCACTACTACCAACGTGTTCTGTTTCTGTGCTGTGACTGCCTAATAAATTGCTAGAGAATGACTATTGATGATGGAGCAAATTTACACTCAGCTCCTTTCTTGTCACGTAAATGAATTTGGAGGGTGTTGCTTAAAATTTTATCCACCTGTAATTTGTCACTTTAAAAATAAAACTGAGCTGGTACAAGAAACAAGTGGCACTGTTTTTTTTTTTAAGAGCACAAATGAATGAAGTGCCAGTTTGCCCTCACATTGGTTGATAAAGTGTCAGACAGTGGTGACTGCTATAAAGAAACAGTAGAGGAAGGTCAAGGGTGGCAGGAAATGGGGAAGCCAGGCCTTTATGAAGAGGTGACACCTGAATAGTGACCTGAATGCAGTGAGGGAATAGGCCTGTGAAGGTGTGAGGGAGGAACACTCTAGGCAGAGGTAAGAGCAAGGACAATATGGTAAGAGGCAGGAAGAGAAGCAGTGGGTTATAGTGAAGAGTTTGGGCTTTATTCTAAGGATAATAGGGGTTTGGAGGAAAAGTGTGACATGACCTAAGACATAGAAAGTTGTGATCAGTAACAAGCAACAAGCTTCAGAACGTTACCTCAAGTGCTTCCAATTAACATGCAGACAAGTCCTAAAGAGGCTGGTGAAGACAAAACTCTTAAGGTACAGGTACTCTGGGATAACCAAGGCAAGGCTGGAGTTCAGTTATTAACAAGCACAAGCCTGTGCTTAGGCACTGTGAAGACAGCAAAAACAACAACTGGCCCTCTGGCATCTACCCAGTGACTACAGACATCTCTGAAATTAACAGGGTAAAAAGCAGAGTGTTGCAGGGGACATTTTTAATAGAAGAGTGTAACAGAAAGGACTACAGAGTATTTCCTCACAAATATTCAGGATCCCATTCTGAAACAGATGAGCTTCCTTATCTCAGCTTTTGGGAGTTGGCTGCTGTCCTCCACTGCATGAGCCAACCCTCTGGAAGTGTTATCCCGTATCTGTAAGCTAGAAAGTTTAGTAAGTGCCTGTGTCTCTTCATCTCTAAGGCAGCAGATAGATGATGATGCTGATTCTCTCACTGTTCTGATGGTGACAGGGTAAATGAAAAAAGATCATGTTCAAGAATGTAGGTGTTTGCATTAAGAACACTTTAAAGTATGAACAGCAGTTCCAATAAAAGATTTATATTATCTACAAAATATAAGCCTTTGCTACCATAAATGCTCTTACTTCTTTTAAACCTGAAAAGGTAAGGAATGTCATGATCAATCTGTACATTTTCGTTGCAGCATTGGCCTGGAAAAGTTGGACATTTAAATTGGACAATCATAGATGTGAATTTCTTGGTCATCTCCAACAGACACAATTTTTGAACCATTTCCATTGTATTTTACTCCCCAGACCTGAAAAAAAAAAAAAAATCCAATGACTTTATTAAAAATGAAGATCCTAACTTCTCATTATACTGAATCTAGAGAGATGAGGATATTCTAGTATTTTCTGACTCAGTGACAATGGCCCCTTTAACCAGGTGTCTCCCATTATTTAATTATCACTCCCTTCCCCTCCCCTACTCAGAAAATGACCTTTCTAAACACTAATTCAAGATATCTACCGACCTTTCAAAGATTAAGAATCCAGGAGTGGCCTAATACCATGCAGATGGAACCCATAAGGAACCAGCGTGGGCTCTCATTTTTGTTTCCAGGAAGAAAAGGCCCCTGAACTACCCTGAAGTCACTGCTGACAGGAACGATTGACAACTGTGCTCCTTACCTAACTCCTTGCCATGCTCCTTGCAGTCAGTAATTCTCACCGTTATTAGAGCCCAGTGCAGCCTGTCAGCTCCCAGAAGCTAAACATGACACTGTGATCATTGACTGCATTTGCTATATGATGTATTAACAGATTGAAACCTGCTTCCCAGACAGAATTAATGTGGTTGGAGTTTCATCAGGAATAAATTATTTTTGTTTCAATTTTATTATTGGTGAAAATACAGCAAAACTCACTCTCATTCCACAGTTTATAGATGTAATAATCAGTGATGTTGGTTAAACTCATTCACATTGTGACAGCATTCTCATTTCTGTTCCAGTTGTTTCATTTCCATTTACTTCATCTCCCTGCCCCTTCCCCCCAACCTTCTCACTGGTGCTTTAAAATAGCTGTTGACCCTTTGGTCTTACATAATTTTTTTTTTTTTTTTTTAAGTATTGCAATACTCAAGGGTGACGATCTTCACTCTTTGGGCTAAACTTAAATAGTTTAAAGGTGACTTTGGGGATAGTTTCAAGGTTTGAAGAATAACTCAGGGCCATAATCTCAGGGATTCCTCTGGAAGATCCAGTAAGTGTGGATTCTTTAAGAATTTGAAGTTCTGTTCCACATTTTTATCAGGATTAATTTATTATGTTCCTGATTAGAATGTCAGATAGTGGTAGCCAGGCACCATCTAGTTCTTATGGTCTCAAGGTGCAAACGAGGCAGTAGCTCATACAGACAATTAGTCTTGTAGTCCAGTTTCTTCTCGATTCTTGGGTTTCCTTCTTTCTCTTTTGGTTAGTATCAGCATCTACAGTCCTTACATTTCTTTCTTTTTTTTCCTTTTTGGTATTGTTGCAAAACTAAGGACTAACTTTCTGATGATCAGGAGCCAATTCTGAGTGGTGAGCTTGTCACACTAACCCTAAGACAGGGCATTCTAGCCCTGGTTTTAGTGTTCTTGTGATAGGCCAGGTGACAGCCCTGAACAGCTGCCTACAATTGCATGCCAGACTTCCCCCCCCCCAGAACAGCATTACTCTGACCTCAAACACAATGTGCACCACTTAGTCCTCAAGTAGAACATAAGGCCAGGAGTAGAATGTCAACTTTATTAGCAATAATTTAGGGTTAAATGTAAAAATGCATGAATTGTTAACGTTAAGTTGCATTCCAAAGAGGGGAAATCTATAGGACCATCATAGAAACATTTAAAATATATCAAAAATCAACTTTATACTGACATTTTTTTTACATACTGACTGGTTTCCTAAGACTTGATTCTCAGAATAGCTGGGACCAGCACAGGCCTCACCTGGGAGCTTGTTAAGAATGCAGAATCTCAGGCTCAAACCAGACAGAATTTAAGCAGATTCCTGGAGAGATTTATGTGCACATTAAAGATTGAGAAGCACTGTACTAGAACATTTTTACCATTTCATATTCACATCAGCAAAGATAAAAGACTCCTCTAAGAACAGTTTCTCCTTTCTCTGCTAATTTAAACACTGAAATGAGTGTTTAAGATCATAAAGCCAAACAACCTATAAGAATTACCAGCTTCTAGTATATTAAAAGGAGCTACAGTGGTATAGTGGTTAAAGCATTTGGCTGCTAACCAAAAGGTTAGCAGTGGTTTCAACCTACCAGCTCCTCCACAGAAGAAAGATGAGACAGTCTGCTTCCATAAAGATTTGTTGTTTGTTCTTGCCAGGTGCCAACAGGTGTGCAGGCTTTGACTCATGACCCCATGTACAACAAAATGAAACACTGCCCAGTCCTACATCACCCTCACAATCCTTGCTATGCTAGAGCCCGTTATTGCGGCCACTGTGTCAATCCATCTGGTTTGAGTGTCTTCCCCTCTTTAACTGACCTTCTACTTTACCAAGCATGATATTCTTTCTTCTCCAAGGACTGGTCCCCTTCTGACAAAGTAGGTGATTCTGGCTATTTCTGCTTCTCAGCTGTATTTCCAAGACAGATTTATTTATTCTTCTGGCAGTCCATGGTGTTTTCAATATTCTCTGCCCACACAATTCAAATGCATCAATTCTTCAATCTTCCTTGTTCACTGTCCAGCTTTCATGTACATATGAGGTGACAAAATAACCATGGTTTAGGTCAGGTACATCTTAGTCTCCAAAGTAACATCTTTGTTCTTTAACACTTTACAGAGTTTTTCTGAAGCAGATGTGCCCAATGTAGTATGTCGTCTGATTTCCTGACGGCTGCTTCCATGGGCATTGACTGTGAATCCAAGTAAAAATGAAATCTCTGACAACTTCAATCTTTTTTCCATTTATCATGATGTTATTTATTGGTCTAGTTGCAAGGATTTTTGTATTCTTTATGTTGAGGCGTAATCCATACTGAAGACTGCAGTCTTTGATTTTCATCAGTAAGTGCTTCAAGTCCTCTTTACTTTCAGCAAGCAAGGTTTACAGCCTTGGAAACCCTATGGGGCAGTTCTGTCCCACAGGATCATTATGCATCAGAATCCTCTCAATGGCAGTGGGTTTGGCTTTTATACATTAAAAAAAAAAAAAATCATATCACTTCTTTGAACAGCTCCCAAAATGACAAGTGGTGACTGTTTAAGCAATGGCAACTCCCAAGAAGGGAGGTCCTTACTGAGCCATCCACAAGCACCAGTTGTAGCATGTTTCAAAGAAAGAAGGTATTTAAAGGCTAGGGTGCATAGCGCTATTATGGCTGACAGCACTTCCCCAGCCTCTGTGTGCAGTGTACACAGGAAAACTGGCCATGCTGAAGTCCAAGGAGATTGAGCAGCTCAGTTCCAGGGGTCTATCAGGCTTGATAAGTTCAGCAGCAAGGTTAGGAAAAGAAAGAGTTGGGCACAGTGGTCAGATAGTATGAACAATCCAAAGACAAAGAAGTTTAGATACTATGCCATACCTGATCCTGGTGATCAAAGAAGGTGTGAACACAAGTCCTCGTTCCAACATCCCAAACTTTTACACTTTTGTCAGATGAACTATTTTAAAAAAGTGAATATCAGTATCAGAAAACAGTTTTCAGACTGAAATTGGAAGGAATCCAACCAAAACTTTACATGTCTTCACCAATATTCTGCTTACCTTCAGAGTCCCTCCCCCCATGTCTGTATGTACAAGTGGTTGACCTGGGTGCCAGGAGGTGGCCAGGGTGTCAATATCACTGAGTGGATTGCCCTCCTCACAGGGCAGCCATTTTCCCAAAACTGTGATTGGCCTGGCCTGGAGTGATTCAGCATGGGTGTCAGACACATCTACTTATTTCCAAATGGAAAGCAGTCCTTTAAAGCATCAAAAGAGCTTTCAGAAGGCTTCTAGAACCCAATCTGCAATGCTTTTCATCTGCCCACTGTATGTTTTCCAGTTATGTTGGCCACGCTGGGCCTGTTTAACACTGGGCTGTAAAAAGCACATTTTACAAACAGATTTACATAGTTTACGTTACTATTGTAACACAGGTACATCTTAAAGTAAACCACAGGTGGATGCCTAAATTTATAAGGAAATACTGAGTTTCACTGTTCTAAAGAATGCACTTTTGTTCAAGCTGAAGACAATTAACTTCACTACTTAAATAAAAAGAAAACAAGGACTATCTGAATAAAACAAGGGTCATAACATCTTTAAGAACACCATCCCCATCTTCTTAGCCTTTTGGAAATGGCTAAGAATCATAAATACCTGGAAACAAAGTGAGTGTCATCAGGACAAAACGCAACATTCAGCACCCAGGACGCGTGACCACTCAGCGTGCCAGCCAAGTTGGCATGTTGTCTGAAATGGGACAAATTCCAAACAAAACGGAAATGTTAATTTCTGGAATACAGTCACAAAAGTGGAAGGCACAAGTGGCCGATCTGGGCCATTCAATTAGACCAAATCTGCTATCTTTACAGGACAGTGTTACTCTAACAAAATCTCCCTTGTCAATTAAGTGGCATCATTCATTGCAGGAACAAATTTTTACAGTGGCACTAACTCAAAGTGTATTAATGCCACCAAAAGCAAAGAATAAGATCCACAAGAAGCAGAGAGCTTAAAAGCGCAAAATGTGTTGATGGCTCAACACGTCAACTCCCAAGATGAAGAAACTGAGAACCAGCAGAGTGAGCAGACCACTTTAGGACAACAGCAGGTTCTGGTCCCTGCATGCACCTGCACCCCTGGAACGTGAGGCCAGTGCCCCATGTCCAAGGAAAGTGTCTAGATGCCCTCATTTAAAACACATGGGCCTTTGATAGGCCATTTTTAACCTAACCAAGAGCAAGACAGATCCAATTACTACAGCCATTTTCACTATTTTAAAAAGCCAAATCAAATCACCTGTGGCAGAAGAACAACTTTAAGGCCTCACTGAGGTCAGTGTGTAATTTGACAGCTCAGCAGTTTCACCCCTGAAACACCCAGCAGAGTACAGCAGACCTAGCCAGGCACCAAGAAAGGCAGCCTCTGTGAGATGCAGTGGGACCATGAGAGGGTTAAAAAGCTGCCCTGAGTCTTCAGTATTATGCCTGTGGGCAAATCACCACCTCAGCTTGGGTTTCTCATCTGCAAAATAGGGACACCAACCTATGCTCATCCATCAATGACAGAGTGTCAACAAAAAGTCTTATAAAGTAGGATATTTAAGGGATTGCTACTATTTATGCTGGCTGTACTACAACAAACAAGCACAACTTCAGAGAGGTAGCTATCCCTCTGGCCCTAGCATCCTCATCCAGCTAATTCCAAAAGCTGCAGTTCAAATTCCAGGTCTGTCTGACAACGTCTTGCCACTCAAAAGCTGCCAAAAGCAGGCTAAAAGGAGTGGTGTTCCTACTCCCAGATCTATATTCCAGAAAAACTCTCCCAGGCTCCTAAGAAGACATGACCACAATGTTCATGGCAGGGATGCATGCAGCTGGGGGCAACTTGGGCATCTATCCCCAGGAAAGGGCACAATGGGATGCCTGTATTCAGGGGGTAGAGGGCCACACTCAGAGCAATGAACTGGAGGCACCAGGCAGGAAGGCTGTGCAGTGTACCAAGTCGAAGGGTCCAGGACACACATCCAGCACAGCACAGAGAGTTGTGGGAGTGGGACAACATGGCAGGGGTGAGAGTGGGGACTGGGAATGAGAAGGCAAAAGAGAGAAAAGGGCCTTACACAGGGGTGCCCAATAATAGAGAGCCATGGAGTAAGAATGATTAACCCACCTCTACACCTGCAGTGAAAACACAGCAAGAAGGAACTGCACTGGGGTCTCCCAGATAGGTCTGCAGTGAGGCAGCTTCTAAGCTGACAGTTCCCTATCTAGGGCAGAGGAGTGCCTCCTGAAACAGCCCCACCCCTAGGAAAAGGATGTTCTAATTTTACACCGCGATAGCCCATGGCTCCATTTCCTCACCTATACACTACTTACCCAAAAGAATTAAAAATAAGCGAGCTCCATAAGACATAAGATGCCTAAGAAAAAATAGCAAGTATCTGTACTACCAAGTAACCTCTGTACGTCTCCTCCACTGCAACCCTGAGGACACATTCTAAGCTCAAAGAGAGGGCACTGAGTAGGGAGGAACCATGATCAGACATGGGTGTCTGATATGACCTGAATACACAGTAGAAGAGGGAGTAGCACACACCCTAGGGCGCTTCCTAACTATTGTATTATACTGTTAAGTATTGTTAGGGGACACAATGGGCATCAGTATTAATTTGACAGTTAACTTACACATCATAGATTTTGATGTAGCCATCATCTGAAGCAGTGACAAGGAGCTGAGAATCCGGAGAAAAGGTCAAGGAACGAATGGGCATAGCATGGCCTGGAATGTAGAAAAGCCCTTGTTAATTTGGTAAATCATTGTTTCCTCACTGTCTCCCCTGTCAGGCCTCCCAGATGACTATGTCCCTTTTAATGATCATGAGTCACTGAGTTGGACCAGGTGCTCCAGTCAGAAAAGGGAGGGTTACTGACTGGGCTCCTCTTCCAAATTTTCTAGAAACATCCACAGGGACCCTGGGCCCTCCTCCTGGAGCATTTCTCCTTAGTTCCCCTCTCTGACCAGCTGGGCCTCAGCATAATTTGCTTAAAGAAACTCCTCTGCTACAAATAATGTCCAAAGATGGAAGTATGCCTTGCTTCTACTTTGTAAGACTGAACAAGTATTTTCCCTATCAAATCATTTGTTGTAGAGTAGAGGATAAATTGAGGAGGCAGTATACTCACTTGGTTGAAATAAAAACAGTATAAAAGAATGTATAGTAAGAAGCCTCCCTCCAACCCATGTTTTTCCCTTCCATCCCAGTCCTCCTCCCCAGAGGCACCAGGGTTGCAAGTCTCATATTTTTTGAATATATGCAAATACTTACATTATTTCTATAAAAATATATAGCTACATATTTGACACAGAACTTACAGAGCAAAAGAAATTTAAAAGACATTTATTTTTTAAAAAACTAGCGTAAAAGCCAAATGATAAACAGGAATATGGGCTGAACATTTACATCAGGTAAATACATTCCTTGGAGAGATCAATCATGGCAGAAGAAAAGGGGAGTATTTGCACAGGGAGACAGCTTGGGGGACAGGAGTGCATGGGAGGGAAGGACACAGGGAAGAGGTAACTACGGGAAGGAAGTGGGAAGAGAGCTGTTACTTTGTGGGGAATTGTAGTCAATGTCATGAGACAAAATGGGTATGAACTGCTGTATGGAAAATGAATTTGCTCTGTAAACTTTCACCCAAATCACATTAAAAAAAAAACCAGGGTAAGACTAAATTATAGGGTTTAGTATTACACATTCAACAGAGAAAATATAAAAAATGTAAGGAAGTTTACTGGTTTTACTGATTACAGGATCATGGAGGAGAGAGGACATGGGAGGAGGGAGAAAGAAGAGTGTGACTGGGACAGGGCACATGCAGGGGCTTCTGGGATGGCTGGCATAGTTTTATTTATTGACATGGATGGTGTCACCTTATAAAAATCCATTAAGTCATCAACTTGATTCATGTGGTCTTTTTTGTATCTGTGTTTTATGTTAGAATAAAAATATATATTTTTTAAATCTGTACTTTTTTTAAAAATTTGTACTTTGCTTTTTCCATTTTAACTACCTCAGAGCACCTGTTTTTCACTGTGTGGATGTACCTTTCGGGTTACTTCTGATCCTTTGTTATCATGACACAACAATGAATAATCTTATACATGTTATTTTGAACATGTGACTATCAATAAGATAAATTCCTAGCAGCAGAACTTGTGAATGAAACCATAAATTCACTTTTAATTTGACTAAAAAAAAAAAAAAAAACCCCAAAATCACGGCCATCAAGTTGGATCCAACTCATAGTGACCCCTCCTTGGGTTTCCGAGGCAGTGTCACTACGGAAGTTGATTGCCCAACCTTCTTTCTAAGAAGTGCTGGTGGTTATGAACCACCAGCCTTCTGGTTAGCTGTAAAATGGCTTAGGCACTATACCACCAGAGCTCCTTTTAATTAGGCAGTGCCAAATTGTTCTGCTGAGAAAGCTGTACCAATTTACATCCTACCAGCAACATGTAAGTTCCTGTTTCCTCACATCCTCACTAATACAGTGTGTAATTAATCTTTTTGATATTTGGCAATGACAGGTGTAAAATCATTTTGGGGCAGTTTTAACTGCCTATATTTAAAAATGTTAATCTGAAGTGTTTGTGAAGGGTCCAGAAACTCCTACAATTCTTTTGGAATGCAATATAAAAATTAAACATGTTTCTGTTCTCAGATCTCTCAAGTCACTTGGGACAGAATGACTTAGATATATGCTATAAGGTAGATAAGAAATTAATTTTCTTTCATTTGTGTGGGCACCACAATGTAGAGACAGGCAGTCATCCTAAGGTATGCTATGAGTGGCCTGTGTGACTCCCAAGCAGGAGACACACACCAACAACATCAGTCAGGGTAAGGAAAACCACTGACTTCAAACATGAGACTCAAATGGAAAAAGTCACAGAAGAAGATGCTCCATATTATGGGGCCTGATTTGCAATCAACCTGCTTTTGACTTAAACAGTTCCATGTGTTGTGTTCCAGGATTTGTCATTTGAGTTTTATTTAGCGATGATTAACAACTTGGGCAGCTAATGTGGCAAAAATGTTTCATACTATTTAGTCCAGTTAATTCCATTTCTATAAAAATAGTCAAATGTATACAAAGATGGGATGTTTACAAGTAATAGCAAAAATAAAACAGAAAGCAGAAGTCCAGTAAGACAGAGCTGGCTAACCTATGGTACATTTACATGAGTATTATGCAGCCATAATAATGAGGATGGCGCTGGACCGGGCAGTGTTTGGTTCTGTTGTACGTAAGGTCACTATGAGTTGGAACCGAACTGACAGCACCTAACAACAACAAGAAATACCTTAGAACAAAGGCTGGCAAACCTCTTCTGTAAAGGGCCAGAAGGTAAATATTTTAGGCTTTGCGTGCCACATACAATCTTTGTTACATATTGTGTTTAACCCCAATATATGTAAAAATCATTCTTAGCTTGGGGTCTCTACAAAAACATTTGCCAACTCCACCTCAGATGAATGTTTAGTGCCTTGCACAAATATAACATTTAAGTAAAAGTCTCAGTTATCATAGCATGAATATGGTCCCAAATTGGGCAAAAAAGCATGACCATAGAGAAAACCAGGAGACAATGATGTTCATGTGGTGCTCTCTGATTAGCAGGTGCACTGATAGAGATTGAGGGGAGTGGGGACAGTACTTTCATCTTCTTCAAATTATTAACAAAAACAGAATTTTTCTTCCAGTCACAAATAAAGTTCTTTAGAAATAAACGTGACAGAAATGAGATACTCATATAGTTAAGCCATATTAACACATAAATAAAACGTAAACCTGTTCACCAAAACTAGCTTTTAATACTAGCATAAGAACTAATGTGTCCAGGTTAAAATTACAATGACGACTCAAACTTAAAGGCATTTCACATTCCCCACTGAGATGGACAGTATCTTACACCAATTTAATGCTCGCTTGCCATTTAATGGCATTTTTAATTAAAAAATTTTTTTCCTTCCTTTATTATCTGATAATCTAGTTTGTATAAAATAAAATAATGAGCCATACCTTCCAGCGTGTGCAGAAGTTTTCCAGTTGCAATATCAAAAATATTAATGATTCCGTCGATGGCTCCACTGGCCAGATATTTTCCATCAGGACTCTATGAGAGAACACATGGAGAAGTGGGCAGTTTGAGACTTCACGTTGTGAAGCCATGCACCATCCCCACCAAACAAACTAATTCTCTGGCTGCAGCTCTAACTGGCTGGCTTCCAAACCAATGTGAGAACCTGCACAAATGTTTAGAGGAGTAAGTGGAAAAAATTAAAGATAAGAAGAAGCAGTATTTTCTTACATATGCAATACTAAGTATGAATTTTCCTCTTGTGTCCAAAGAATATTCCTTTTTACCACTTTCCACACCAAAAATATTCACTTTCCCCACATGAGTTCCTGTGGCCAGATACTGGGAGTCAGGAGAAAAGGCCAAAGTCCAGGCATCCACTGAATAGAAAAAAAGGAAAAGAATACAATGAGAAAAGATAAAATAATTTTTCTAAAAAACTAACGTTTTACCAAAAATAGCTTTTAAAATGGAGAAAGGTATCCTGATTCAGAAAACTATGTTTTAAAGATGTTAATTCTTTACCAATTTAGCTTAAGAGCTTCTTACATTTTAACAGAAAGAGACAGAACAATACCAAGCACTGGTGAGGATGAGGAGAAAGTGGAACTCTCATACATTGCTGATGGCAATGTTAAATGGTACAACCACTGTGAAAATCAGCTTGGCTGTTTCTTAAGTTAAAATATACACTTACCATATGGCCCAGCAACTCTCCTCTAAGTATCTACCCAAGAGAAATGAAAACGTATGTCCATGCGAAGACTTGTATGTGAACATTCATAGACTATTACTCATAATAGCCCCAAACTGGAAACAACCCAAATGTCCCTCAACTGATGAATGGATAAACAAAATGTGGGATATTCTTACTACTGATACATGCTATAACATGGATGAACTTCAAAAAACATGCTAAAAAAGAATGAAATACGATTTCATTTATGAGATTTGTATACACACACACACACACACAATTTATATATATATACATGTATATATATGTTGTTGTTATATGCCGTCGAGTCGGCCCCGACTCATAGCGACCCCTCCTTGGGTTTCCGAGGCAGTATCACTATGGAAGTAGGATTGCCCAACCTTCTTCCGAGTAGTGGCTGGTGGGTTTGAACCGCCAGCCTTCTGATTAGCAGTCAAGTGCCTTAGGCACTATGCTACCAGAGCTCCTGTATATATATGTACGTACACAAAGGCAATTAGTTTTTAACTTACACTATACAACTTAGTTACCTCTTAGAGTTATATTCAAACGTTACTTATGTACCACAGAGCTTCTGTGAGGGTTCCCAGACTCACATGCAGCCTGGGTAAACACATGTACTTTGTTTACATCTGGAACACTGCTGACTGATGATGCTTTGGCATTTCTTTACTCAGCTACGCGGGAACCTCAGAGTTAATCTCAAAGAGCTTTGGGTATTGGGTCAGGGCCTAGAAGTGAAGAACAATCTGGTTTCCTTCTACCCGTCCTCTGCCTGCCTGGGCCTCCATGCCCTGCTCACTCTTACAGGGTAACATCCCCTACGTCCTGCCCTCTCCTGTACCTGCCTGGGGAACTGTGCTCATCAGATCAAACGGGAAGAGAGAGAAAGGCTCCTCCCTGAGCCACCCTCCTCATTCCTTTGAATAGAACTCAAAGAAGACACATGTCCTCTGCCTTTTTAACTTATAGGAAAGTGAAGGAGATGCCCATGAGCTTGAGATGCCCATGGGCTCCAGCACAGAATGACCACTACCACATGCCAGGGTGCTTTTTAAAATAAAAGTTTCTTGAAAATTTTAACACACATATTAAAAGTAGTAATAAATCATTTAACTTTATCATTTTCCTATGAAATATTTCTTTTAAAGATGGAATTTACTTCAATACTCAATTTACCAGTAAGACCTAAATAAATCTTTTATAACCAAATCTTCAAATAGCTGCTTTTTAATATCTTCAGACCTAAAGACAGTAGCATTTACTCTAAAAGGATTATGTTTGTTCCTATTTTAAATAGCTCTTTACTAATGATTAGGAGCTCTGGTGGCATAGTGCCTAAGGCATCTGACTGCTAACCAGAAGGCTGGCAGTTCAAACTCACTAGCCGCTCCTCAAAAGGAAGGTTGGGCAATCTACTTCTGTAGTGATACCGCCTCGGAAACCCAAGGAGAGGTCGCTCTGAGTCGGATCCAACTCAACAGCAGTGAGTTTTTTAACTAATGATTACTAGGAAATCTGATGTTTACTCTTGTAAGTTTAATAACAAAACACTTATATATTTTTACATTTCCCTATTGTTTGACAATATGGAAACTTTGAGTACCAAATGTCCTTATACTCAAAATAGAAGAAACAATGTTTATCCCTCAATTAAACCCTGCATTCTAAGTTTTTTTATGTTAATATTTTATACGATAGATATTTATTTAAATCATTAAGTTCCTCTTCAGGACTGAAAACAGTTGCTTCTCCTTATCCTTGGGCACCGTGAACTATGTTCACGATGCTGAGAGGCTCCTGTACCGGATTTTCCCCTTTGTTCTTCAACGCTGGCTCACTTGGAAAGCTACAGCCTGGCTGAGATGCCAAATGCAGCATCTTCCCTTCACCTTTGCTTTCTTCTACTTCTTTACTTTCTTCTTCTCGTTCTGGGCATTTTTCTCTTTCTTTATGATAGTTCATGTTCTCCACATATATTTTCAAGACAGATATAACTTGTTGTTATGTGCCGTCGATAAACCTAGGTCTAATGAATGTAAAGAAAATGGACACCTAAGATATAACTTAGGTGTCCATTTTCTTTACATTCATTAGACCTAGGTTTATCAAAGTATTTAACTTTCAGATGAATTCAGCTGCTCTTTAGTTGTCAATAGTAATGCTTGCTTTTATGATTTAACTAAATAAGTATTCGTTGTTTAATGGCCTGGTAGTTTTGTGCAGATTCCTATCCAAAAATAAAATAAACTCAATCCCTTTATTTCTCTCAGTATCTTTCTCTTTCGTAACCAATGCTACCTTGCCATAGTTGGAAAATATCTGGCATAAGGTACTGCTTGTTAGGGAAGGCAAGTTGGAGAGATACACTATCCTTTTACTTGTAAATAATCCAGCACTCGTTTCTGTAGATGGGGTGTACCTGGGGCCACAATCATGCAGTGACCTTAACCCCCCAGGTCCCAGGAAGGTGCATGTGCCCAAGATGAAAAGACAGCAACAGATCTGTTCTTCCGCCTCTTGTCTTAAATGTTCCTTAACTATATTTCAGAATCTTAATAGCCTGTGTGGGCTGGCCTGGGGACCCAAGTCTTCTGCAAGCAATGTAAGCAGGTGAAGTGCACACACAAAGAGAACCTCCTGAGGAATGAAAGTGTCTGGAGATCTTTCTCCAAACACACATCCCAAGGCACACACCCCAATAACTGTGATTCAGTGGCTTCAACACAGGGACTAGGCATGCATATTCTGCAAAAGCCCTAGTTGTAAAGCTCATAGACATGGAATATTGCTTCTCAAGGAAAATGCACTCAGCTTCCAGAAAACTCAGTCTTCTTACAAACTCCAGGACTCTATTCTTTCCAACATAAGAACAGCCTATAGTGGCTACTGATAAGTAGTGGGAGGCAAACTCACCTGGTGCCCCAATCAAAGGAATTCTGTTAATGAAACACCTAAACAGCTTTTCCAAAAATCAACCACCTCGGAAGGAAGGTTAGGCAATCTACTTTCATAGTAATACTGCTTCGGAAACCCAAGGAGGGGTCGCTACGAGTCTGGTCCGACTTGACTGCACATAACAACAACAACAAAGCGGTGTGCCAGAGATGCCCTCTAGTGGTCACCACTCATTCTGGTAGAGGAGGCTCTGCTCATGAACACTATGTGGTCATTTACAACATAAGTCTAATAGGAATCCTCAAGTGTCATGCTGTTTTTTCCACATTAACCCAGTCCACTGAAATCATCAATTTCCATCACCCTAAAAACCAAACCAAACTCACTGCCCTCGAGTCAATTCGACTCGTAGCAACCCCTCCTTGGGTTTTGGAGGTGGTCTCTCTACAGAAGATTGTTCAGTCTTCCTTCCGAGGAGTGGCTGGTGTGTTTGAGCCTCCAGGCTTCTGGTTGGCAGTCAAGTGCCTTAGGCCACCAGAGCTCCCTCTATTACCCAAGGTGATGTTTATCAAGGCTGATGGACAAGATTATGCCATTTCTATAGTACTTAAAAAGAAAAAAATAATAAAGAAACCAATGATTTTTGTGTCTTTGAACAGTTTCGTATCAACACATAATGGCACTCTAATCACAATTAATTGAGATCACCATTTGACTGCTAACCAGAAGGCTGGTGGTTCAAACCCACCAGCTACTCCTCAGAATGAAGGTTGGGCAATCTACTTCCATAGTGATACTGCCTCGGAAACCCAAGGAGGGGTTGCTATGAATCAGATCCGACTCGATGGCAGTGAGTACAGTGAGTATACCATGATACAGACCTATAAGAACATAGTGATTTGCATTCTAGACATCTATAGGACAGTGAACACACCAAATCAGAATACAGCAAACATAAAACTCTGGACCCTCCAAATACACACCCACAATCCCAAGGTGATGATTCTGAAATCCAAAAGGCTCTGAAAACTGTTTTTTCATAAGTGTAGTACCAAAATTCATTTGGTAGCAAAGCTTAATCTAAACTGATACAATGCTATATATAGCTTTTATTTATTTCACTTAATATTCATGCTTACAGGTAGACAGGCTAAACAAGCATGTATGGGTAGGTAAAAGAGCATACACCCATGACCATATATAAGGAGCTCTGGTGGCATAGTACCTAAGGCATTTGACTGCTAACCAGAAGGTTGGCGGTTCAAACCCACCAGACATCCCATGAAAAGACGACCAGGTAATCTACTTCCATAAAAATTTACCACCTTGTAAACCCAAAGTGGGTCGCTATGAATAGGAATTGACTTGATGGCAGTGAGTTGTTTAGTTTTTAGATATATAAGTCTGGCAAATGATATTTCTACATATGTTATTTATATGTGCTACAAGAATGTTCATATATAAAACAGAGTTAACAGGAGGCAAAATTATGATAATAACTTCTTAGCCATAGCTAAACACCTTGAGGGACTTAGTCACTGGACTTACAGGCTCATAGGGGGACATCAAGCTCAACTGGCATAACATACTATACAAAAACATTGTTTTACATCCTACCTTGGTAAGTAGCAACTGGGGTCTTAAAAGCTTGCAAGTGGCTGCCTAAGATGCAACAATTGGTCTCTCCCATCCAGAGCAAAGAAGAACAAAGAAAATCAAAGATATATGGCAACAATTAGCCCAAAGGACTAGTGGACCATGTGAACCTCAGCCTACATGACCCTGAAACCAGAAGAAGGTGCCTGGTTACCACAGTCAACCATTTGAAAAGGGATGAAAATAAGAGATCCTGGATAGAGTCAGAGAAAAATGTGGAACAAAACTCAAAATCACAAAAAAGACCAGGCTTACTGGTCTGATGGAGACTGGTGAGACCCCAAAGACTATTGCCCCTAGTCACCTTTTGGGCCTGGAATTGAACTCACTCCTGTGGCTTCTAAACAACAGACAGGTCCACAAGTTGAACAATTACACCAGGTAGGTACACTCCTTAGAAATCAACCATGGGAGATCAGACGGGCAGCAATTGCACAGGCAGAGCTCAGAGGGCAGGAATGCACAGGAAAGAAGGATGCAGGGAAAAGGTAACCACAGGGAGGAAGTGGGAAGAGTGCTGTTACATTAAATGATTGCAATCAATGTCATGAAATAAAATGCATATAAACTGTTGAATAGAAAATGAATTTGTTCTGTAAACTTTCACCCAAAGCACAAATAAATAAATAAATATTCAAGAGTAGCTGCAGAGCATTGAGGATGAGAAAGACAGAGAGAGTTACATGGGCAGTACAAACAACAAATATGAACCCCTTTGTAAATACAAAACTGAGTTGTCAATGAAAGCAAACATGGGTATAGGGACGGATAGATGGGTGAACAAGCTAAACAATTATGTATGTCTAAATGGAGAGTGTATCCAAGATCATATACAGGGTTGGCAGACAATGGGCCTCTCGAAGAGTATGAAGGGATGGACACTGGGAGGAGGTGACTGTGGGGAGGAAGTGGGAGGGGAGCTGCTGCATTGTAAATTTTGGTCAATGACATGAGACAAAGTATATGTGAACTGCTGTATGAAAAGTGAATTTACTCTGTAAATCTTCACCCAAATCCTAAAAAAAAAAAAAGAGTAGTTGCAGAGCTATTAGTATTTGATCATAGTGCTGTGCCCAACCCCACTGAAGGTACTATGGAATATACAGTTCACACACCTCTACTACCCTTCTTAAATCCAAAAATTCTATGAAACTTCCCTGAGGGTTTTGGGAAAAGGATCATGGACCTTAATTATTTCCTCTAAAAGTAAAACTCTTACCAGGTCCTGCATCAATAGACTTTATCTGTTTGCCATTTTCCAAGTCCCAGAGACGAATGTGAGCATCAAGAGAACTGGATGCAGCAATGGGCAGAGTGTGGCTGATGTCCACAGACACCACCCCCAGTTGATGTCCCTCCAGACTCCACTGTAGGTCCAGCCTCTCATCACGCCTTCAATGGGGGACAGAGACAAAGGGATTTCTTCACTCACAACACACTGTACCTGGCATCTGAAATTCCAGGTCCCTGTGACCCATATTGCCAATGGTCTGTGAAATGTAGAATCAGAAAGGAATTGGACAGTCACAGAACACCAAATGAAGCCAGGTTTTAACTTTGGGAATTTTTTTAAAAAATTATAGGGCTTTAATAGTGAATAACAACAACAACAAAACAGTGAGAAAAAACAGCTGCTATTTTATATTGCCATACTGTTACTACTTTCTTGCCTACAAATAAGTTAGTACTTCCCTGATTGCAACTCGGGAGTCCAGAAACAAAAACCAATTTTTTGAAGCTCTATGTCAGAGGAGAGGGTGCTCACCATTTCCAGACCTTCACCAGGTCATCCAGGGAGCCTGTGACCACCGTCTCAGAATTTTCTTTCTTGTTTGTCCCCCAGGCAACCGACCAAATGGCATCATCATGGGCTAGAATGAAAAGTGCTTCATTTAACAAGTCTTTCTATAACTTCTAAATCTAACATCATAAGATGAAGCTGAAATCTGTTCCAACAACAATTCTGAGGTAACAGTCACTTGTAACCATTTTATAAAGTGCTTTCCCATACAGTTTGTAGTGGGGTCACATATGAAAACTGGAAGTTCTAAAGAAATTCATTTATCAGGTAGGGAGGCAGTAATGGAATCCAAGTCCTTGCACTCTAAATCCAATGTCCTTTCTACCTTAGCATGCTTCCACCACACAGCAGACTGGAATGGCAACTCACTTGACTAAAAAGTGAAACCATCAGGGGCTCCTTTGTCCCCTGCAAATAAAGACCTAAACTTGGCAAGAGATATCTCTCAGAGATCCTTGGAAACCAGTAGGCAGCTCAGCTGTAAACAATATAGGCCTAAAAATAAATACTTAATATGGCATGAGTTGCCTTTTACTATCTTTATTATACTTACTGGGTGGCCAATTATTACATTAACCCTTTTATATATTCTTTTCTATATAAGAATTATCTGAATTGCAACAATCCCTTGAAGTGGGTAGTATTAAATACCATCCCCATTTTACAGACAAGGAAATCAGAGGCTTAGAAAGTAAGCTCACTCAAAGTCACAAAGTTAAGAAGGAGCAGAGCTAGAATTCAAACCCAACCTCTAATCACTAAAGTCTACAAGCTCCAACTTCGGTGGGCCTGCACATTGTTGCATCTGCAGAAATGGCATGGGTATGTGTGATAAGCATACATGGAAGCTTTATTCACACCTAGTCGCCATTCTCCAGTGCCACTTTTCCAAAACATGTCTATAAGGGCATTCAATTTCAACAATATGGAGCCCTGGTTAAGTGTTCAGCTGCTAAACTAAAGGCTGGCAGTTCACACCCACTAGCTGCTCTGTAGAAGAAAAGACCTGGTGATTTGCTCCCATAAAGATTACAGCCTATGAGTCAGCATCAACTCGATGGCACACAACAAAACAACAAACTTCAACAGCTCTGAGTTACATACAGGTACATGGCTTCAATTACAATACTATATAAAGAAAAACGTGGTATCAGGATTGGAGGAAGAATCATTAACAACCTGAGATATGCAGACGATACAACTTTGCTTGCTGAAAGTGAGGATGACTTAAGGCACCTACTGATGAAGGCTGAAGAATACAGTCTGCAGTATGGATTATGTCTCAATATGAAGAAAACAAAAATCCTCACAATTGGACCAATGAGCAACATCACAATAAATGGAGAGAAGATTGAGGTTGTCAAAGAATTCACGTTGCTTGGTTCTACAATCGATGCCAACGGAAGCGGCAGTCAGGACATTAGACGACGTGTAGCATTGGGAAAGTCAACTGCGAAGGAACTGTTCCAAGTGCTGAGGAGCAAGGATATCTCCTTGAGGACTAAGGTGTGCCTGACACAAGCCATGATATTTCCAATCGCCTCATATGCATGTGAGAACTGGACAATGAATAAGGAAGACCAAAGAAGAGTTGATGCTTTTGAGTTGTGGTGCTGGCGAAGAATGCTGAAAGTACCATGGACTGCTAAAAGAACTAACAGATCTGTCCTGGAGGAAGTACAGCCAGAAAGCTCCTTGGAAGCAAGAATGGCCAGACTTCACCTCACCTATTTTGGTCATGTTGTCAGAAGGGACCATTCCCTGGAGAAGGATGTCATGCTTGGTAGGGTGGAGGGTCAACGAAAGAGGGGGAGGCCTTCAATGAGATGGATTGACATGGTGGCTGCAATGATGGGCTCAAGTATAGCAGGGATTGTGGGGCTGGCGCAGGATCGGGCAGTGTTTCATTCTGCTGTGCATGGGGTTGCTATGAGTCGGAAATGATTCAACAGCACTTAACAACAACAACTAGCTACTTATACTAGCTAACTTGGAAGAATGTTTTTGGTTTAAATTTTAGCCTACCTAAATGTTATCGACTTATGGTGGAAGTGCTCTGTTAGGCATTCCACAAATGACACCAGGCTTTACCTAACTCATCCAGGCTGTGGTGAAGAGACAAGACATAACTTCTAAATCCAATACGATAAAATGAACAGTCCATGCATAAATGCTTCTCCTTTTCAGATATGAAGCCCTGTGGGCTATGTTCCCCAAATGGACTCTAACCTGTTTCCTGCTCCCATTCCTGTTACTGCCACTGCTACACAATCCCCAGCCCTCCCACATACTCACTGGCCTTGAGAAAGGTCCTCTGTGGGAGTCTCTGCAATTGTTGCAACTAAAGGAGATCCTGTCATCCACTGGGTCACACAACGACCCTCCTGTAAAGACTCTGAGGCAAGTTCTGAGTTCAGGGTCAGACCCAAGTTTACCTTCCACATGAGCTGGCATAAACAGAGCCCTGAGGCTCAAATCAGTTCCTTCTCTCACTTTGGGAGCTGGGAGGTCAGAGTTACGTCTTCCTCTGGTGGGAAACCTTTCCTCAGCCTGGAGCTCTCTGTTCTTTCATTTGACTGCTACCTTTTTCTTTTTAGATAGTTTTTCAATTTTTGTTATTATTGTTTGTTTGTTTTTAAGTGTATTTGTTGCTGGCTGCCTCTGACAATCCCTCTCTCTGCAAAGGAACTGCATGTCTGGTCAGCATGACAAATGATCTTAAAGAAACCAGGGACAACACAGCTTTTCACAGGTGAAATTGCTTCAACAGGCAGGCTACTTACCTTGCTCTTGTTTGAAGAGAATACTGTACTAAAAAAGAACAGAAGCCACATTAAACCACCAGTCAGAATTCAGGTATCCCCCAGCCCCTCCCTAAAGTACCCTCAGGAATCCAATTCACCCCTATTCACTATTTAGTCACCATGGTATTAGCTACTTCCCCTGATGTCACCTGAAAACCCCTTGATCCCTGCTTATGCAGGATTTGTAGATTCAGATTAAAAAAAAAAAAAAATCAGTGCTCAAAGAAACTAATATTCCCCCTTCCCTGACCCCTATCCACTCCACACACCCCTATCTGTTTTCTTTTTCTGTTCTGACCATCAGGAAGCTCAGAGCCCAGTTTGTAGGCTAATTTTCATGGCTACATAAGACCACACAGCCTGTATGTTAACTTTGTCCCCAAACTTATGATATGTTTCTCCTCATTCATCTCTATTCTAATCTATTGCTCTGCTTTTTTTTTTTTAAAAAAGCAAATTATTTCCAACTTCCTCAATTCCTCTGTAAACTGTGGGAAAGACACAGATAAAATAATCCTACTGTTAGATGCCACTGATTCCAAATCATGGTGATCCTATAGACAGAGTACAACAACTCTATAGGGGGTTGAAGGCTGTAATCTTTACGGGAGCAAACTGCCACATCTTTCTCCCAAGGAGCCACTGGTAAGTTTGAACCACTGACCTTTTGGATAGCAGCCAAGCACTTAACCACTGCATTACCAGGGCTCCTCATAATAATATTATTAGTGTTGTACATTTTGTTAGTGCCACCTAACCCTGTGATGGCCAGGTTTCCCAGGGTCATCCAGCTCTTCAGGAGCAGAGAAAGAATTAGATCTCAGTTTCCTGACTATAAATGCAGACAACCAAGTGGGCTCAATTTGCCAAAGAACAGACCAACTGATATTCTTCCCCTTGCCATAGGCCTTACCTGATTGGTCATCTCCTTAACCAAGGATGAAGGGCTAAAGGCCAGAAAGCTCTGTGGAAACATCAGCATTTCAGTCAGGGGGTATCATCAGGACAAAGGGGGCTACAGGAGATTCCCCTTGACCAAGGAAATAAGGTAACGCTTTGTTACAGAGTCACTCCAACACCTTTCTATGGCTCAGTCAAGGGACGCTTTTTACAACCCCTACCAGGTCAGCTGTGCTGCTGACTTAGGGACTCAATTAACACCTGCTTCATCCCATGGTTTCCACTCCCCAAGTCTGCCTATAGAGTGAGACCTGTCTCTGTCCCTTGCTGCTCTTCAGAGAGACAAAACCACAGGTCCTTTAATTTAAAATATTATTTATTCAAAACTCAACAAGCAAACTTAGGGAACCCAAAGATAGCAAAGTTCTTACAATCCATGCAGGGATCTCATGACTATAGGAGCCAGCAAGTATGTAAACAAGGGAAGGAGGTAGAGGGAGACAGCTCTCTCAAAAAAGGCATCAAAGTCTTCAAAGACTTAGCTAAACAAAGACCCAACTTACTTTTTTTACAAAGAAAACCAAGAACATTTTACCTAAATACAAAAACCAGATCTGAGATAGAGTAGATATGTGCTCCTTGATTAATACATTATAATCAAGATCTAGCGAGTCTAATGTAACTACCATAATTTCAAAGTTGTGAAGAGCTTAAATACTATCTTCTCAGGGTATAAAATACCTGTGATTTCCACTGATGATACAGTCACATTGTTAATACCAAGGTTTACTGCCTATATTCATAATTGAAGGAAATGCTAAATTTCAGTTAGCAGCTAGGAAATGTGAAGATAGAAACATAATTTGCTTTTCTCATTCAAGTTCATGGCCCCATCAATTTTATCCACAAACAAGCTGGGAGACCATGTAGTTAAGGTGCCTAGGTTCAGGTTGTTGTTGTTGCTGTTTGTTAGGTGCCGTCAAGTCGGCTCCAACTCATAGTGACCCTGTGTACAACAGAACAAAACACTGCCTGGTACTGTGCCAGCCTCACCATCCCTGCTATACCTGAGCCCATCACTGCAGCCACTGTGTCAATCCATCTAATTGGGGGCCTTTCCCTTTTTCACTGACCCTCTACCTTACCAAGCATGCTATCCTTCTCCAGGGAATGATCCCTTCAGGTTACTTGCTTTAAATTTGCAAATCTAAAAAGGTTCTTGTAATGCTCTTCCAAAATTAATAAGAAAAAAACAAAAAAAAACCTATCTCTGAATTCCGGAATCATCCTTGCCTAAGAAAATCTCAATCAGGTTACTAGTGTTTCATTCATTTGTGACCCAAGAAGTGGGCCATGCCTAGAAGAGGAAAGACAGGAAAGTTCAAACCAGTTCTGCTGAAATGAAGGGCAATTCAGTCTGTTTGAGCACCAGTCCTTTGCCCTGTGAACTACAACCCTGCTAATCTGGGCCTCACATTTAGCAACAGAAAAACAGCCTCCAAAAAGCCAGTATCCTTAAAACAAGGGTGTGAGTCTATCAATAATGAGTTCACATGTGAGCATGGACTATGTGTTTGGTCCTGTTTTAAATACTATCATGGACTAGCTCACTGAACCCTAATCCTGTTTAGTACATATTCTTATTACCATCTCTACTTTCCTGATGAGGAAACTGGAGCTGAGAGAGATTAAGAAAACCTCCCCAGGGTTAGTCTAACACTAGAAGGTGGATACAAACTTGAGGACAGGCTAGTAAGCTACGTTACCTTTTACTCCAGTCTCTTATCTCATCACAGGTATTTTCACAGCTAAAGGCCCATTTCAGTGTCATCACTAGGGGGGTATGGATCACATTTCAGCAGAAATTTATTTTTTTATAAAAATTTCCCTGTAGTTAGTTATAACAATAAAAACATTTTTTGTAAGCCCAGTTTACATGTATCAATATACCTACAAGGCTAAAACTCTATGCTGATTTACTTTTTGAAACTTCTAATGCACTGGGTCAGAGCTGTCATTACAGTAATTCTTCGAACCCATGTTATTGTTTTCGATTTCGGCAGCTGTTTTCATAGTCACTGATTTTGTCAAGTTTTCTGGTGTTTTAGCTATAATATTGTGGTAATTAGTATTTGTGAACCTATATCAATAACTTTTGAGAATGAAGTAGTAATCAAAGGAGGAGAAAAATAAAAACACAGGCTTCCAATCAGTTATTAATGTTACAATTAATTAATAGTTGTAATTCAATGTATAAAGATTTTACAAAACAAATTTGCTGTTAGCATTCATATCTTCTAAGGAATATTATTACATTTACAACTATATCACATATTCTATTATTAAAATTGGTAATAATAAACTTTACTAAGGATTCTTTATAGGAGCTCTGGTAGCATAGTGCCTAAGGCACTTGACAGCTAACCAGAAGGCTGGAGGTTCAAACCCACCAGCCACTCCTTGGAAGGAAGGTTGGGCAATCCTACTTCTGTAGTGATACTGCCTCGGAAACCCAAGGAGGGGTCGCTATGAGTTGGGGCCGACTCGACGGCACATAACAATAACAACAACAAGGATTATTTATAGTCTGGTACAAGAGGAGGTCCTTGGAGGGTGGGTTTGTGACACCCTAAGTTACTGCACTGGGTGACACCCCTAATGACATCACTGACCCATTTCTGCCACTTTCTCTCTTTCAGGGAACTTCCTCCTAAATTCCCAGGCAGAATCCATTGCTTGTTCCTCAGTAATTTCAAAGAATGCTACATCTGCCTTCATTCAAATACTCAGGTAGGTCAGTTACCCAGAATACTACATGGTACCCGAAGTAATGAGAACCTAGCCTGTCCAGTGATGCGGAGCTCGCTACCTAAGAAAAGAGCATGTTTCACTTCTGAAAAACTTTGGTTCAAGACAGTCCTTGCATTTATAGCACCAAGACCTTCCCCGCGGATGAACCAGCTCTAATCTCGGGGCTGCTCAGGACATTCTCAGGATACAAGAGGAGGCTACCTACAGGCCTTCCCTCTCCCATCAGGCTCTGCACACCTAGGGGCAGCCGATGTAAATGGGGTCACATAAGCTACTTTCAGGCACCGAGGCCTGGAGCATCCCTGAACAAACCTGCTTAGAGGCAGCCTCATGGCCACCCTCGCTCACCCGCCCTCCAGATCAGGCCCTCAACAGCCCCAACCACGACCATCCCCAACAGCCGTCACAACCAACTCACCACTGCACTGCCTGCTGCGCTTCTAATGCTCCGCGCCGCGCGACTGCGACGCGCGGCGATGAGCTAACGAATGGGCGGGGCTTATTTCCGGGCCTCGCCCGCGGAGCACCGGCTTACGCCGCAGCGCCCCCTGCAGTGGCAACGGGGCTCTTGGCGTTCGCAGAGGTGGGTGGGCGGGGACAGGAGATAGGGAGACCACGCCCTGTTCACGCCCACTACCTCTGAGGCGTGGACGCTGGAAACCAGCTGCCTGTAGTGCAGTTTGAGATTCTAGTGACCATGTTGTTGTTATGTGAGTCAGACCCGACTCATAGCGACCCCTCCTTAGGTTTCCCCTGCGGTATCACTACGGAAGTAGATTGCCCCATTTCCTTCCGAGGAGTGGCTGGTGGGTTTGAACCGCCAGCCTTGTGGTTAGCAGTCAAATGCCTTAGGCACTCCCAGAGCTCCTTCCAGCGGTCATAGATAGGTTTAGGCATTTGCGTTTCAGTTTCTTGGTTTGTACTAAACCAGATTAACTAACTAGATTGGACTAAACCAGATCCTTGTAGGGTTCCATTGCTTAAAAAAAAAAAAAATCCATGAAAGAGAGCTTTACTTTTCAAACTGTAAATCACCACACATTTGTGGGAAAGAGATCAATTTATTTGTATCCTGAATACATCTTAATGAGATGGAAGGAGCAGACCAGAGACCCATCCTCCGGAGTGTGACCTGACCCCTACTGCCCTCTGATCACTGTCCCAGCTTCTAACTAGGCAAGAAGGAAGACATGTTTTGGAGAGTGAATGCTTGGAAGACCGCTTCTGAAGGGTTAGCCAGTTTCTGTTACTAATCTCTCCTGACTAAAACCGGTTTAGAAGCTCAAAAGCGTTATAGTAGAAGGTGAAGACAGTAAAGTCCCAGTGAATGCCAGCCTCTGAAGTGCCTGTAACTTCTCATGTTTTTCTGTCAGTTGGACCTTTACAGAGTCCAGTTTAGTAGGATCATCTTGAGTTCTATGATGATCTCAGAAACCTGTTGGATCAGTAAAACAAAAACAGAAAACAAACTAGTTGCCATCAAGTCTATTCCAACTCATGGTGATCTCACATGTGCCAGAGTAAAACTGTGCTCTATAGGGTTTTCAATGGCTGATTTTTTGGGAGTAGCTCACCAAGCCCTTCTTATGAGGTGCCGTGGATGGGGGTGGCAGCTGGCAGAGTCAAACGCCAACCTTTTAGTTAGTGTTGTTGTTGTTGTTATTTGCCATCAAGTTGGACCCAACTCATAGCAACCCCTCCTTGGGTTTCCGAGGCAATATCACTACAGAAGTAGATTGCCCAATCTTCCTTCTGAGAAGTGGCTGGTGGGTTTGAACCGCCAGCCTTTTGGTTAGCAGTCAAGTGCCTTAGCAGTTGAGTGCAATGTCATTAGCAGTTTGTGTGTTGCTCTGATGCTGAATAGGTTTCAGAGGAGCTTCTAGACTGAGAAAGACTAGGAAGAAAGGTCTGGCAAACCTACTTCTAAAAATCAGCCAATGAAAACCCTATGGACCATAACAGTCTGATCCTCGACTCATCATATGAATGGCATAGGCAGCTAACAATAACAACAACAAAGACTTTCTAGCTCTTATAATTCTACAATTATGACAAGAACTCTGTATCATTCATTCAAAAGGATGTACTGAGTACTTGTTTTCCCCCCAGAGCACCAGATACATGGAGTCATTGTCATGGTCTTAGCATTGGGTCTGTGAACAGGATACTTGACATGCTTTGTGCATCTGATGAAATGAATTTCATCTTGTAATGTTTCAGGAGCTCTGGTAGCATAGTACCTAAGGCACTTGACTGCTAACCAGAAGGCTGGTGGTTCAAACCCACCAGCCACTCGGAGGAAGGAAGATTGGGCAATCTACTTCTGTAGTGATACCGCCTCAGAAACCCAAGGAGGGGTCGCTATGAGTCGGGTCCAACTCGACGGCACTCAACAACAACGTTTTTAAGTCAATAAAAACAAAATGCATGGATCACAAAGAAAACCAATGACTGTATATCAAAATATTTGTGAATTAGTAATACATGTGCTTCCTGATTCATGAAGTAGGTCTAATAACTTCCAGGATTTCCAAGTAGTGATGAGTGTAAACACTATTCTGAATTATCTGCAACAGTTATAACATAATATGAAAATATCTATGTTGGTGACAAAGCCACCCGCACACATTGCTATCAAGCTGATTCCGACTCATAGTGATCTATAGGACAGAGAAGAACTGCCTCATAGGGTTTCCAAGGTCATAAATCTTCACAGAACTGCCACATCTTTCTCCCACAGAGTGGCTGATGGGTTCGAACCACTGACCTTTCAGTTAGCAGCTGAGCACTTAACCACTGTGCCACCAAGGCCCCTCCAAGAAAGCCACATGGACTGCTAATATGTCTGGAGTTTGTTGCCTACATTCATAATTAAATAAAATATTAAATTTCAGTTAGAGGTTAAGGAAAATGAAGATTAAGTATTTTTCACAGATCCTCAATCCTCTGTTGTAGAGCAAGTTGGGGAAGACTTGCCAAAATGTAACTGTATGCCATTTAAATATCTCTAATAAGAGTTATAGGAGCTCTGGTAGCATAGTGGCTACGGCACTTGACTGCTAACCAGAGGGCTGGCGGTTCAAATCCACCAGCCACTCCTCAGAAGGAAGAT